AACTAGTTCTATTAATTTTCTTACTAAAAATAAGGTAGCTAGTTATATATAATAAAATGTTAATTAGATAATGAAATCTCATATAACTAAATTAAACCTAAATTTTCTTACTAAAAATAAACTTGTTCTATTAATTTTCATACTAAAAATAAACTAGTTATATTAATTCAACTAGTTCAAATCTCATATATATACCTAATTAATATCTAGCTATACTAATTCAACTAGTTCAACTTGTTCTAATTCATCTAAAATTGACATTAATATTTAACATCTTTTCCATATAATTCATCTAACATGCATTAACATTCTAATATTATTATCTAACATTAATCTAAACAGCAGAAAATAGAAAATAAGTAAAAACAATGTATGTGTTTGTGTATGTGTGTGTGTGTGTGTATGTGTGTGTGTACGAGCGGGTGGGGGGGCGGCGTACGGGCGGCGGCGGGCGATGCGACGGGGACGGGCAGCGGGCGAGGCGGCGGCGACGGGCGGCGGTGACGGCGGGGGCGACGGCGGTGACGGCGACGACGGGTGGCGGGGCGACGGCGGTGACGGCGATGACGGGCGGCGGGGGCGCGCGGGGCCTGCGAGGGCGGCGCGCGATGGGCGACGGACGCGGCGAAGAAGTTGGATCGAGAAGAAGTGGTGGTCAATGAAACTGAATTTTTCGTAAGTGCCATATATATAGGAAGGGCCTTTAGTACCGGTTGGAGCCACCAACCGGTACTAAAGGCCAATTTTCGCCAGGCCAAGGGGCGGGAAACGGCCCCTTTAGTACCGGTTTGTGCCACGAACCGGTACTAAAGGTACTAAAGGCCCAATCATTAGTACCGGTTGGATCCACCAACCGATACTAATGGTTGTGCGCTGCCATCGGCGGTGCACAATGTTTAGTCCCACCTCGCCGAGCGAAGTGCAGCCACACTGGTTTATAAACCCAGCCGCGGCTGCTCCTTCGAACTTCTTTATATAGCAGGCTTCTGGGCCTAACTAGGGCGCGCTGCCCTGTGAGTCTGCTGGCCCTTCTGGGCCTGCATTTGCACACCCTAGATCTGGCAGGCCCACTGGACAGCGCCCCAACAAATTTTTTATATAGTTTTTAATTTCTGCATTATTTATTTTTTTCTATTTATTTTTGAGTAATTTTATATATTTTTTCTTTTCTGCATTATTTATTTTCTTCTATTTATTTTTGAGTAATTTTTTATATAGTTTTTTTTCTTTTCTGCTTTATTTATTTTCTTCTATTTATTTCTGAGTAGTTTTTTGTGACCCTCTCTACTCTTTCGCACATGCTATGCAGGTGAAATGATAATACCATTGCAAGTTTCAACATTTTCAGAATTCATTTTGTAGTGATTTTCAATTTCACGGTCATTTAGCTCTCTAAACAATTAGGTAAATGACTGAAAAACAACAAATGATGTCAGAACATATTTGAAATTGATGACGTTGCTTTGAATGCTGCATAGTGAACATAAAAGAAGTCCGGAGTTCAAATAAGTTTAAAAAACATTGAAGTGCCCGTATAACAGATGAGTTCTCGTCCGAAACCCTGATACTTCGAAAAAGATTGTCCAGTTTGTACACGAAGTGCGTCCAGTTTTTGCCATGACCCTCTCTACTCTTTCGCACGTGCTATGCCGGTGAAATGATGATACAATGCCAAGTTTCAACATTTTCAAAGTTCATTTTGTAGTGATTTTCAATTTCACGATCATTTAGCTCTCTAAACAATTAGGTAAATGACTGAAAAACAATAAATGATGTCAGAACATGTTGGAAATTGATGACGTCACTTTGAATGGTGCATACTGAACACAAAAGAAGTCTGGAGTTCAAATAAGTTTAAAAAACATTGAAGTGCCCATGTAACAGATGAGTTCTCGTCCGAAACCATGATACTCCGAAAGAGATTGTCCAGTTTGTACATGAAGTGCGTCCAATTTTTGCCGTGACCCTCTCTACTCTTTCGCACATGATACGCGGGTGAAATGATGATACCATGCCAAGTTTCAACATTTTCAGAGTTCATTTTGTAGTGATTTTCAATTTTACGGTCATTTAGCTCTCTAAACAATTAGGTAAATGACTGAAAAACAACAAATGATGTCAGAACATATTGGAAATTGATGACGTCGCTTTGAATGGTGCATACTGAACACAAAAGAAGTCCAGAGTTCAAATAATTTTAAAAAACATTGAAATGCCCGTGTAACAGATGAGTTCTCGTCCGAAACCCTGATACTCCGAAAGAGATTGTCCAGTTTGTACATGAAGTGCGTCCAGTTTTTGCCGTGACCCTCTTTACTCTTTCGTACATGCTATGGAGGTGAAATGATGATATCATGCCAAGTTTCAACATTTTCACAGTTCATTTTGTAGTGATTTTCAATTTCACGATCATTTAGCTCTTTAAACAATTCGGTAAATGACTAAAAACAAATGATGTCAGAACATGTTGGAAATTGATGACGTCGCTTTGAATGCTGCATACTGAACACAAAAGAAGTTCGGAGTTCAAATAAGTTTAAAAAACATTGAAGTGCCCATGTAATAGACGAGTTCTCATCCGAAACCCCGATACTCCGAAAGAGATTGTCCAGTTTGTACATGAAGTGCGTCCAGTTTTTACCGTGACCCTCTCTACTCTTTCGCATATGCTATGCGGGTGAAATGATGATACCATGCTAAATTTCAACATTTTCACAGTTATTTTGTAGTGATTTTTCAATTTCACGGTCATTTAGCTCTCTAAACAATTAGGTAAATGACTGAAAAATAACAAATGATGTCAAAACATGTTGGAAATTGATGACGTCGCTTTAAATGCTGCATACAGAACACAAGAAATCCGGAGTTCAAATAAGTTATTAAAAATAAAAAAGAGGTGCAATGCTGGTTAATTTGCTTCAAGCCTTTCGGAATAGTGTAGACTGCACTGCACATAGCACAGTGCAATCTATGCTATTCCGAAAGGCATGAAGCTAATCAACGTGCAGGTGAGCATTGCGCCTCTTCGTCATTGTCTTTGCATTCACGGCTTATAAACCGCTCATAGTGCCTCTCTCTTGGCGAGGTGGGACTAAAAATCAGCTTACTAAGAAACTCTAGTACTGGTTCATGCCATGAACCGGTACTAAAGGTCTTCGTGGGGCCCAGCCTGACCACAGCCGCACTGACCTCATTAGTACCGCTTCGTGGCATGAATCGATACTAAAGGTTGCCCACAAACCGGTACTAATGATGCCCGCTCGCCTAGCCGTTGGAACCGGCACTAATGTGCCGGCTCAAATTCAAACCGGCACTAATATGCTTTACATTTGACCCTTTTTCTACTAGTGCCAGTGCGGCGGCCCAACCGTCCCGGCCCATCTACCCATGTGTCATCAACATGCTCCACCTAGTCATCCACTGGCAGTAATTGTGCGTAGTTGATTTAACAACAAACCTGAGATTTAATTGGCCCATCGTAATGTTTTGCATGCCCCAAAGTCACTTTGAGAGCATGGACAATAGCACACACAATTGTTGGCTATATGATGTTGTCATATCATTTATAATGAAGCTTATACCCGGAGTAGATATAAATATGTACTAGTTTATTGATACATGTCTCATCTCACTCTCTCACAAAGTTTTTAGAAACACGTACTGCTGCTGGCTATTAGTCTGTAGTCCGCTTCTCTTTACTCTTCACAAACTAAGCAAAAATATAATATTTAACATCTTACAACCCACCTATATCACCTTATTATACTTGCTCTGACTAGGTTAGACATGTCCCATGCGGCCGATCGGATTAGTTTGATTCGTCTCTCTGCATCACAATGCAAAATGACTTTTCCTCGAACTGTACTAATGGCTCTCACTCGACCACATATCAGCAATACACATGGGTATCAATGCCCACTTCTCCGGGTTATGCACCACTCAGTAACACCCAAACTAAGGACAAACTTGGCATCCCCTTTGGCACAAGTTGATAAAGCCAAATGCCTAACTCTATGGATGTGGGGACTCCGACTTGTAAAGCCGAAGCCACTGATTATAAATGCAACAGTGATCCCATGATCAATGTGCCACTGCATCCAATGAAGTGATAACAAGAGTTTACATCCATTACATACCATCATGCCTTACATAAATAGGAGCATCATGGTCAAGTCTTACATAAATAAAAGCCTTAAAGGTGAAACTCCAAATGATCACTTGCAACGGAACCATCGTTGCTAACTTGGACCCATGCCATATGCCTTAACCCTACAGAAAACCGACTGGGAAGCGTCCTATTTCGCGCGAACATCGTCGAAACTCCTCTTCAAACTCTTGATCTTCCATGCCTGACCAAGTTAATAGCCAAGGACAAGGCAAAGAGTACTTTGAATGTACAGCAAGCAGCCCACCAAGTGATAATAGAATATGCATGCATGGCTCAATCACATTGTGGTAGCTTGTGTGTAGAATTCTACCATCTACTCCTACTACTTATGATATGATAGTGTGCATTGAGAGTGGCCTAATTAAGGTCGTGGACGCTAAACACGTAAAAGTAAAGAGCCCGTTGCATGCATGATTCGTAGAACATGACGCCCAAATGGCTAGATCGTGCTTCTTCACCTTCATTATCATGAAGTTAAGTATCCAGCCGCTGAGCTGCATGCGGTTTAATGCCAAGATCGTCTACCTACAAAGTCAAACGGATCGCCGGGAGATTCAGGCTCATGCAATGCAAGATTGCAGGTCGAGGTCGTGCACCGGCGAGGGATGAGATGCCTCCACCCGCAGATCCCGATCTCGTTTTGTTTTGTGCTCGATCGTGCAACGCCGTGCTTGCCGTCCGTTGGCCCGTGCCCCTTTATCCTCCACCGGCGTTGCCACCCACTCACACCGAACTGAACTCGCGCTGCAGGCAGCAGCTTCCGTGACTGAGAGCAGTGGCAGCGTGGTACAGACACCGAGCTAGCTAGCTGAGCTCCACGGTGCGTGCCTGCATGGCGGTTCGCGCAAGGACGCCGCTCCTGCTCGCGGCCCTCGCCGGCGCCGTGGCCCTCCTGCTGCCGGGCGCCGTCGAGGCCCGCGTCCTGCTCTCGCTCGACGACTTCGGCGCCGTCGGGGACGGCATTGCCAACGACACCCAGGTACGTACGCCATGTCGCGAGCCATCTCGGGCGGCACCGGCACGGCGGCGTTCCCTTCCCTTGACCCTCTATTTGTTTCTTCATCAGGCATTCGTCGACGCGTGGAAGGCGGCGTGCGCCACCGGCGGAACCATCTACCTCAACGTCCCCGCCGGCAAGTCCTACCAGATCTGGCCCGTCACGCTCGCCGGCCCCTGCCGCGGCGAGATCAAGCTCATGGTAACATTTTTTTTTCTTCTTCTTCCTCTGCCACGTCAGTCACTCACAGCTAGTACACTCTAATGGTGGAGTAATTTGTGCGTCGTCAGATTTCCGGGAACATCATCGCGCCGGAGGACCCGGAAGAGTGGTCGGATGGCGACCAGGGCAGGTGGCTCCACTTCTGGGGCGTGGGCGACCTGTCGCTGAGCGGCAGCGGCATCGTCGACGGCCGGGGCCAGCAATGGTGGGCGGGGTCCTGCGAGGACGAGAACTGCACCACGTACCGCCCATACGACGTGGCCCCCATGGCGCTCCACTTCGAGGACTGCCGGGACGTCAGCGTGAAGGGCATCACGGTGCAGAACAGCCAGCGGCAGCACCTGGTCTTCACCCGCTGCCACGACGTGGAGGCCAACTATCTCAGGGTGACCTCGCCGGAGTACAGCCACGGCACCGTCGGCGTCCTCGTCGTCAGCTCCACCGACGTGCACATCAAGCACGATCTCTTCTCCGTAGGTACGTTGCATTCCGAACCGAAATTTCCTCTGGGAGGCGGAATTTTGCTGGTATTTCTAAGTGTTTACCTGTCCATCGTTTTTAGGCGGCGACTGCGTGTCGATCGTGGGCAACTCCTCTGATATCCGTCTGAGAGCCATCTCGTGCGGACCTGGACTCGGCATTAGGTAATGTGCAATCTTAGCAAATACTGTTCCCTCCGATCCATATTACTTGTCGCCGAAATGGGTGCATCTAGGCAAAACCTTCGTCAAATCTTAAGCTGAATGTTTCATCTTCTTCTCCGCCGTCAGCATTGGAGGCTTGGGCGAGAAGCAAAGTAATCACATGGTACACAAGATCAAGATGGACACTATGTTCATCTCCAACACCAAGAACGGCGTAAGCATCAAGACCTACGAGGTAATACTAACATTTTTTCATAAAAATAATGCTATGTGTTGTGAGGTGTGACATCGCTTTTTTCATCACCTTTTGTGCTGTGTTTTTGGCCATCATTCATTCAGAACGGCTGCGGCTTCGCTTGCAAGGTGAAGTTCGCGCACATCATGATGAGGAACGTGGCCAACCCTATCGTCATCGACCAGCACTGCTACTCCGCCTCCAACTCCAACCGGGGAACTCCCTGCGGAACTCCGGTACGCTCAGCTCGCCGGCCGGTTGTCTGGTCTGAAATCTGAGTCCGATGATGCATTTCACTGCCTACCTAGCACAATAACAGATGACACCATGCATGCACATCTCTGAATTTGTTTGGGATTGTCGTCGTGCAGAACGGGAGCGCGGTGGCGGTGGAGAAGATCAAGTACATCGACATCACCGGCACATCCGCGACGGAGCGGGCGGTCACGTTCGCGTGCAGCAACGCCATGCCGTGCAAGCACCTGTATCTGGACGGGGTGAACCTGAGGACCGCCGGCGGGGGGAGCACGTCCGCCTACTGCTACCAGGCGTTCGGGAAGCATGTCGGGGACGTCCTCCCGGAGTCGTGCCTCGGCAAGGAGAAGGAGGACTTCGTCCAGCTGCAGGCCCCGACCGCCGGCACGCGGCAAGGAGACACCGAAGACGAAGAAGATGATGATTGGTGAAACTTCCGAGAATTTTGCCGCGCGTGGAACTGTATGGGATCTTGTAATGTGATTCAGCAACACAAGAAGGACGACTTTTGTCCGCAAGTCTAGAGTTATTGGCCATGCAGAGGACGAATTGTTGTATCACAACAGTTGAATAAAAAGTTCTTCTCTTTGAGAGAAAAAAGAGGCACGAGTTTTATACACAACTAGATGATGCTCCGCGTTGTTGTGGGAACCATGATAAAACAAATGCACCAATGAGTGCTTAACAACTACTTAAAACTATTGAAATACAAATGTAAGAGTGTTATTTGCTTACGTTTTAAAAACAAATAAAACATAAAAAATATGTAAGAGAATGATGTATACAAAGAAAAACCTTTTGAATTCAACATAATGTAACATCATATTTTAATAAAAATGTGAAGCATAAAAAATATATATTTGCTCCAAGATCCAATACATATGTCGTTCATGACGACAATACAAACGAAAAAAAATGAACTGTGACTAACATGCATGCCCTTTGTTCCGGTCATAAAAGTCATGCTTGATTTGATAAACGCGATCCCCCTACTCTTGCTCGACTTGACCGTGTCTTCTTTGACATTGATTAAGACCCTCTTTTCCCTGACTCCGCCCTCTCTTCCTGGCCCCACACAACCTTCGAGCACTTCCTCATCATTGTCTCCGCCTCCACAAAAATCTCTTAGTCAACATGATTTTCTTTGAGAATGCTTGGCTCTTAGACCCCTCTTCCTCCCCTCCCACTATCCCCTCTCGGATGAGTGTCGCGGGCTCTCGCGATGTTGCGGCTGACCGCGCCTCCCGGACCTTCCGGATGGCAGGCAAGGTTTGGAAAAAGCTCCACTGATTTGTTCCTACTTTCCTTAATGATTGCAAAATTGTGGTGGATTTAATGGATTTCTTTGATGTGCGGATGAATTTGATGATGAAGAGGACGCCGATGGATGGCGGAGCTAAAGGCTGAGGACGGCGACACAGATGGGATTGGGAGTAGGAGGTAGCTACCCCCCGCGTGACAAAGGAACTGATTAAATCGGTCGAGCCAGGGGATTTGGGGGGGGGGGAGCAGTCCATAAATATACCCGAGAAAAACCAAGTGGAAGGAGGAGGCAAAGAAAAATCAAAACAGGTGGAGGGGAGGATGAACAAAAAGAGGAGCAGAAGCACGGGGTAGACGAAGCAATCGAGCGAAACGCTCTTCTACGCGAGAGGTGTGCTATGCGTCGGTCGTCAGATCTGACGCAATCTCGCGATCGAGCATCGTCATCACTTTTACAACAGAAGTCTTGTTGCAAGAACCCCTTTTGGAACAGATGCCCTGTTGCAGAAACATTTGTAATAAATGTTGTGTTATAGTTTTCTTTTGCAACGATGTCTTGCTGCAGATTTTCTTTTGCAACAAAGGTATTGTTGCATTTTTTTTAACAAATGTCTTGTTATAGAAAGACATCGCGTTGCAGTGCTTGCAGGCATGGCTTTAAGTTTCTTGTAAAAAGAAGTCACGGCCTCCAGCAGGAGCTCAGTCTGGTTTGGGAACGGTGGTGTATTGTTTCGTGTGCGATGATGGTGATCGGCAACGGGAGAGCAATGGAGCTTGGAGGAAAGAGGATGCGTTGATAGAAAAACAGATGCCTCAAGAAAGATGAGGTTGTGTATGTGACTGGCATACGACTTAAATTCTGATGAACTGGAGACACCATAATCTCTCTAATCATCTAATCATAGATTGTGCTCGCCTCTTTTGCAACATGAATGATCAAGTGCTGATCAGACCGTCGCGGACACGGTCGAGGCGCACAGGAAACATTTTTCTCAAGAAAAAAAGATTGCTTTCTATTTTGGGTGAAGTATAATTTTCCCTCTTGCTTGGAAGAGGAGAAATCAAACATGCGCACGTGCGTATACACCCACGCCGCCTGCCTCGCGGGAGGCCACCGAGATCCGGCAGCCTCCCCCCTCCTCCTCCTCGCATCGGCCGGCCGCCTCCCGCCGCCCCGATGCTCCTCCGGTCGCCGCCGCGGCGCCTCCACCTGCTCCGGCCGCGCCACCTGCGCGTCCTCTCCCACGCCGCCGCGGCGCTCGCGTCCCCGGCCCCGCCCCCCGCC